GAGAGACTGGAACACTTAATGCACTGCTGGTGGGAATGTAAGATGGTACAACCACTTTGGAAAACAATTTGGTGCTTCTTTAAAAAGCTAGAAATGGAAGTACCATATGATCCAGCAGTCCCACTCCTTGGAATATATCCTAGAGAAATAAGAGCTGTCACACCAATAGATATATATGCACACACATGTTCATTGTAGCACTGTTCACAATAGCAAAAAGATGGAAACAACCTAGGTGCCCATCAGCAGATGAATGGATAAACAAATATGGTATATTCACACAATGGAATACTACACAATGATAAAGAACACTGATGAATCCACGAAACATCTCACACCATGGATGAATCTGAAGGGCATTCTGCTGAGTGAAATTAGTCAGGCACTGAAGGACAAATATTGAATGAGACTGCTATTATAAGAAATTAAGAAAAGGTTTAAACACAGAAGAAAACATTCTTTGATGGTTACAAGGGTGGGGAGGGAGGGGGAAGGAAGTTCACTAACTAGATAGTAGACAAGGATCATCTTCAGTTAAGAGAAGGACAATACACAATACAGGGGAGGTCAGCGCAACTGGACCAAAGCAAAAGCTAAGAAGTTTCCTGAACACATCCAAACACTTTGAGGGACAGATTAGCTGGGGCTGGGGACCATAGTTTTGGGGGATATCTAGGTCAATTGGCATAACAAAGTTTATTAAGAAAATATTCTGCATTCCACTTTGGTGAGTTGCCTCTGGGGCCTTAAAATCTTGCGAGCGGCCATCTAAGACGCATCAATTGTTCCCAACCCAGTCGGAGCAAAGGAGAATGAAGAACATCAAAGACACAAGGAAAATATTAGCCCAAGAGACAAAAGGTCCACATAAACCTGAGACTCCACCAGCCTGAGAACAGAAGAATTATTGTTGTCCGGCTACCACGAATGACCACCCTGATGGGGAATACAACAGAGAGTCCCTGACAGAGGGGGAGAAAAGTGCATAGCAGAATGCAAAATCACTTAAAAAGACCAGACGTAATGGTCTGACAGAGACTGGAGGAACCTCCGGAACTATGACCCCTGGATGCTCTATTAACCCAGAACTAAAACTGCCCAAAGCCCACTCTTCAGACAAAGATAAGACAGTACTATAAAACAAAAAATAATACTTGTGAGGCATGTGCTTCTTAGTTCAATCAGATACATGAAACCAAATGGGCAGCTCCCATCCGGAGGCAGGATGAGAAGGCAGGAAGGGACAGGAGTTGGCTGAATGGATACAAGAAACCTGAGGTGGAAAGGGGGAGTGTGCTGTCACATTGTGGGGATTGCAGCTAATGTCACATAACAATATGTATATAAATTTTTGTATGAGAAATTAACTTTGAGCTGTAAACTTTCTCCTAAAGCACAATAAAAAAAAATGAAAACTACATAAGATACCATCTCACCCTGACATTACTGGCACGAATCAAAAAACAGAAAATAACAAATGTTGAGAGGCTGTGGGGAGCTTGGAACACTTATACACTGCTGGTGGGAATGCAAAATGGTACAGCCATTTTGGAAAACGATATGGTGCTTCCTTAAAAAGCTAGAAATTGAAATACCATACGATCCAGCAAATCCTACTCCTAGGAATATATCCTAGAGAAGTAAGAGCTGTCACACAAATAGACATATGCACACTCGTGTTCATTGCAGCACTAATCACAACAGCAAAAAGATGGAAACAACCTAGGTGCCCATCAACAGATGAATGGATAAGCAAACTATGGTACATACACACAATGGAATACTATGCAATGATAAAGTACAATGATGAATCTGCGAAACAGCTCATAACATGTATGAATCTGGAGGACATTACGCTGAGTGAAGTAAATCAATCACAAAAGGACAAATATTGTATGAGACCACTATTATAAAAACTCATGAAATGATTTACACATAAAAAGAAACAATCTTCAATGGTTGCGAGAGAGGGGAGGGGTGGGGAAGGAAAAACACTAACTAGACGATAGATAAGCAGTAATTTTGGTGAAAGGTAAGACAGTACACAATACTGGGGAAGTCAGCATAACTTGACCAAGGCAATGTCTTGGAAGCTTCATAGACACATCCAAAGTCCCTGAGTGACCGAATTAATGGGCTGAGGGTTGGGGACCACAGTCTCGGGGGACATCTAGCTCAGTTGGCATAACGTAATTTATAAAGAAGACATTCTGCATCCTACTTTGGTGAGTAGCATCTGAGGTCTTAAAAGCTTGTGAGCGACCATTTAAGATCCTTCACTGGTCCCACCCTGTATGAAGCAAGGGAGAATGAAGAAAACCAAAGACACAAGGGAAAGATTAGTCCAAAGGACTAATGGACCACAACTACCACAGCCTGCATGAGACTGAGTCCTGCTCAGCTAGATGGTGCCTGGCTACCACCGCCGACTGCTCTGACAGGGATCACAATAGGGAGTCCTGGACAGAGATGGAGAAAAATGTAGAACAAAATTCTAACTCACAAAAAATGACCAGACTTACTGGTCTGACAGAGACTAGAGAAACCTGAGAGTATGGCCCCCGGACACCCTTTTAACTCAGTACTGAGGTCACTCCTGAGGTTCACCCTTCAGCCAAAGATTAGACAGGCCCATAAAATAAATCGAGGCTAAATGGGCACACCAGTCCCAGAGCAAGGACAAGAGGGCAGGAGGGAACAGGAAAACTTGTGATAGGGAACCCAAGTTTCAAGAAGGGGAGAGTGTCAACATGGCGTGGGGTTGGCAACCAATGTCACAAAATAATATGTGTATTAATTGTTTAATGAGAAACTAATCTGCTCTGTAAACCTTCATCTAAAGTACAATTTAAAAAAAAGAAGTCATAGAATAGACAGTATTGATACCCTTTTTACAGAGTTCAAGAGTGAAAATAAACCTACCAGTGAGTAAAATTATGTAGAAAAGCAAGGCAATAAATGTAAAAAATAGACAACAAACAATAAAAGAGGATAATGACTACCTAGAAATCGAGAAGATGGGATTGAGAAGGAAGACACTAGATGGGGTTTGATGGAGACGCAACTGTATCAGTACTCCCTAAAGTATTTATTTTTGAACCAGTTTAATCTTTCATAATAAACATCTAATATCCATATTTGGAAAAATAGTTTTACAATTTAAAAATGTATTAAAACACAGTAGTAAAAAATTAAAGAAGAAAATATAGTGACCCTATAGGACTGAATAGAACTGCCCCATAGGGTTTCCAAGGAGCATCTGGTGGATTCGAACTGCCAGCCTTTTGGTTAGCAGCCAAGCTCTTAACCACTGCACCACCAGGGCTCCAAAGAAAAAATGGTAGTATGAAATTTAGCTTAGGTGGTTATGGATAAGAAAATAATTTGTAAATATGTATACTGGGCCTCCCTCTGCCTGTTGTATGGACTGAGGATCCTTGTTTTATTTGTTTCTGAAGTGCTGACCTGGGCAGCATGGAACAGGCAGGAAGAGAGCAAAGGCAGGGTCTTGTGGCTGCTACACACCATACAAGTGCTCTGTGGTCGTCTCAGTCAGAGTCACAAATCAGATGAACAAACAGGGTTAGCATTAACCCCCTCTCTACTACTTTTTCTATGATTGAACACAAATCTTAATCATGAGTGTTTCAAATTGTTTTTGAAATGGTGCTTCTGGAACTCTTTTTTTTAGAATTACTTATAAAAAAAATGCAAAATATTAATACCACAAAGGTGCTATCTCTTATATATATATATAAAAACCCACCACGGCTGTTGAGTCAATTCTGACTCATAGTGACCCTGTAGGACAGAGTAGAACTGCTCTATTAGGGTTTCCAAGGCTATAAATCTTTATTTATTTATGTTGACTGATGAGAACAGAAGTTTATTTTTTTTATTGTGCTTTAGATGAAGGTTTACAGAGCAAATTAGTTTTTCATTAAACAATTAATACACATATTGCTTTGTGACATTGGTTGCCAACCCCTCAACATGTCAACACTCTCCCCTTCTCGACCTTGGGTTCCCCATTACCAGCTTTCCTGACCCCTCCTGCCTTCTCATCCCTGCCCCTAGGCTGGTGTGCCTGTTAAGTCTTATTTTGTTTTATGGGCCTATCTAATCTTTGGCTGAAGGGTGAACCTCAGAAGTGACTTTAGTACTGAGTTAAAAGGGTGTCCGGGGGCCATGCTCTCGTCTGTCAGACCAGCAAGTCTAGTCTTTTTTTGTGAGTTAGAATTTTGTTTTACATTTTTGAAATTTACTGTTGTACAGTTCTGGAGGCTAGAAGTCCATATCAACGTGCCTTATCAACATGTCAGGCCAGGCACATTGTCTCTAGACAGGAAGTCTCTCGAGGAGGGTCTTGTCTCTCCCAGCTTCTGGTAGCCCCAGGCATTCCTTGGCTTGAGCAAGCATCTTCACATGGCCACCCGTCCGCAGTCTGTCTCTGTGTCTCTTCTCCTCCTTATAAGGACACCTCTCAGACTGGATTACTCCATTGTGACCTCAGGTTAACTGATAACATCTTCAAAGATCCTATTTCCAAACAAGGTCACATTCACAGGTACAGGGATTAGGACTTCAGCATATCTTTCTGGGGACACAATTGAATCCGTAACAGGTTTTCCTTTCTTGTTTGAAGGGAACAGAGAACTCAAGCAGGGCTGAAGATAGCCTCAGAATAAGCCAGGTGCAGCCCAGCACAGCCTTGCGCTACTCAGTCTCCCTCCCCAAGGGGGCCCCGTTGGGGTGGGCCGTCCTTTATCCTGGGACAAGGCTGCAAATCTTTATGGAAGCTGACTGCTACATCCTTCTCTCTCGGAGCAAAAATGGTGGATCCGAACTGCAAACCTTTTGGTTAGCAGCCGAGCTCTTAACCATTACATATATATTATATTTATATACATATATATGTGTGGGGCGGGGGGGTTATATATCTCTGTGTTTCAGTCAAAATATGAAAAACTTTCAAGAATTATATTGCTTTGTTTTTGCAGGTCTCAAAACTGACCTGGATTGAGAAAAAAATGGCTGCTACTTTGTTTGGAAAAATACCTTCCTCATCTGTAGGAGAAGCTTTGCACAGTTTCCTTAAGGTATATGTTATGAATCCATTATTTTAGTGTTAAACAGGCTACCATCTGCACCAGCCCCTTCTACCCCTGTTGCCAAGAAATCTTTCTCTTCTCCACACATAGATCTCTGACTGAAGCCCCAGTTTGTATTCTAGTTTTGGGGTGTTCTGTTTTAAGCCTCTTATAATGTAAGTTACATTTTATTTTATTTATTTATTTATTTTTAATTGCATAGTTTTTTTTTTTTAA